CCCCCACACACACACACACACACTTCCAGGCGAACCCTCTCTCTAGGCCCCCGGCTGTAGGGGTGTATCCCCTTCTCTCCAGAGGCCTGGGGCACGCCAGCATCTTCCTCCAGACATGACCCTGACCCCTCCAGGCACATGGGGACCTCATGTCTGGCCTGGCAGGAGCTGGGGGGACACAAGGGTCTGGGGCATTGGGTGTCCCTGGGCACAACTGGTTGTTCCCTCCCTGCCTGGGGAAGAGATTTAAGGGGCCCCGGGTGCCTGCTGGCTGGCCCCTTGTACCCCGGTCCGTGCCTGGCTGGGTGCAGAGCACATGGGTCCTGTGCGTGCAGCACTCTGCCCCCTTTCAGGCCTCCTCTCTTGGCTGGGACCAGCCACCCAGGCCTCAACTGTGCCAGGAGGAGAAAGGTTGTCCAGCTATTTCCGCAAAGGGAAGAGCCCCAGGGAGGATTTCCCAGGCTATAGCATCCTGCCTAGCCGCCTTTCCCTGCTTGGTTCAGCCGCAGGCCTGTAGGAAGCCGGTGAGCCTTAGCACCCAGGCTGGAAACAGCCTTGGCAGGTCCCAGCTGGAAAAGCTGGAACTGCCTTCCCGTCTCTGCTCACCGCAGCCCTCTGCATTGCATCACACCCTTGGTCTCCACCGGCTGCATCACACCCTTGGTCTCCACTGTGGCTCCAACCTCCCACCCCACTCCCAGAAAAGAAACGGGCAGCTCAGTGCAGGGACCGATGTTGGCGGCTGTGCAGTGCTTAGGCCCAATGCAGAATGAACCAAAGGGTACCCAGAGGCAGTCAGGAGTGCCGGGGGCCTTGCTGTGATATGATTCATTGCCAAGAAGACATTTTTTGGATGAGGCACTAGGCTGGGACTCTAGCTCTGGATAAAGTGCTAGGCTGTAGGGTGGGCATAGCAGCAATTTCTGGGTCAGATTGCTCTCCTGTTATTTTAAACTCTGTGGGATTGGGAACTCTGTTACATGTGTTGGTTTGGAGCAGGGTACAGTAGGACCCTTGAAGTACTTGTTATGTGACCGCAGCATTACAATAGAAGAGTGACCCGGTGGTTTTACTTCCCTTGCAGGGGAGATCTGCCTTCTTCTCGGCCTTGAATGACTTGCTGTAGTTAGAGGGCAAAGGGCTGTCCCTTGCACTGTGGGCAGGCTGACTCCTGTGAGAGTCTCCAAATGCGAGGATCTCTGTATCCATGTGAGCTATCACAGCTTATGCCACTGATTGATGTCTTTTGTCATGTTATTATTCATTCTCCCTTACTCAGCCCACTTGTACGCATCTGTATTCTTGAGCCCCCAAATCCAAGCAGTTACCCAAAGCCTTGCCTCCTTTGCTCCTCCTGTAACCCTGTCTCCTTTAAAACTGTGGGGTTCAGTGTATCCTGCTGTCTGTGTCAGCTCTGGTGGCACCTGCAATGGGACAAACAGGAATCTGGGGCCTTGTGGATGCTAAGCTGGTGTTGAGTCTTGTTTGCTACATACCTTTTCGTCGACCATCCCAACCTCAGGCAGGGATCCAGAATAATGGTCCCTAGCTCTCAGCCAGACCGTTGGCCATGTTGATATTATAATGTTAGAAACAGATCTCAGTGCGTGTCAAAGCCCTCTGTGTAATACTTATTGAGCATGCAGCAATGCATATAAACAGACCTCAGCTTAGATTCCTGGAAGTAGCATTATAAGCGTATAGGAAATGTAGATATTATGGCAATATAGCTCATAAACAACAACAGGCACAAACAATTGCAATATATTAGTCCATAGACACTGTTGCACTGAAGTTTACACTTAGTGTTTGTAGCAGTTTGTCCAAGCCCTTACTGTTTGAAAGAGATATTTTGCTTGTATCACAAGGGGAGACCTATAGAAATGATCAGGCTGGTAAGAGAAACTTGCTCTTAAGTTTCCTGCCTGAAGAGAAGTGCAGGCAGGTGATGCAGGCCCTGCTGAAGGAAATCACCTGTCAGAGTTCTGGGCAATTCGACAGTTTAGGAGGGATTAGAGGAATTATCTAGCTCAGCAACATTTGCAACCCTTTTGCACCCCGGACTCATTAAAAGGCTGCAAAACTCACTCTGTGTCCCAGGATCTAGGGGTTGCAGAGGAGTTTTAGACCTTGAAATGATGTGAGTTTTTGGGAATGGTGCTGGGGACGGTTAAGCAGTGGCGTAAGGGGAGACTGCCACTTATTATGCCATCTTTACTTGCTTATCGTTGCCTCATCCTTCTTAATACCCCATGGTGTTTATTATCAGCCTGTTTCTATCATACACTTGGATTGTGAGCTGTCTGGGGACAGGCTCTGTCTTCAGTTCCTTGTCTTTCCAGCCTTGTAGCACACTGGTGCTCTGACTGGGGTCTCTTGATATCATTGTGAGGCAAATTTGGGGTGGGGGGAGAAAAGGAGAGGGGCAGAGATAAAGTAAGTTCTTGGTTGATCTTCCCAGGGCACACCACTGAGTTACATTGTCCTTTATATTAGGAAAGGACAATGTTTTTTGCTTACTGCTCCACAGCTTACACTGCCCAGCAGTGTCCTCTGATCTTTGCATGTGAGGCTTTTAAAGTGTCTGTAAGAGAGTTTTTGAAGTTTTAAGCTGTCCCAGAAATGCCTTAGGGCCACAAAGCTGAACTTCAATAGTGGTAGGAGGAAAATAAGGCTCAAGTCTAAGGCAGCAAAGGAGAACCTGGAGGTCTTTAGAGGAGATCTGGATCTAAATGAAGAGTTGGGAAGAGGAAGGGGACTGCTGCAGCTGGTAGGGACGGTGGAGA